CACCTGGGACACCCGCCCCGAGGCGCTGGGTACGAGGCGGGCATGGAGTAAAGCCGAGGGGTTGCGTGCTGTCAGCAGCAGCTGTGAAGGGAGAAAAAAAATGCCATTGATTTTCACGGTACCAGCAGGGAGAAATGGGGGGGAGGGGGAAACGGGCCAACTGTGTTCAGGGTTTTGTTGTTTTCCTTCTGAGAAATGTGGATGCCAGCTTGTGTGTGTTGCTCAGCACCCGTCTCTTTCCTTTCTGATACTAGCTGTTATTTTTCTCCTGGGAATCACTTACTTCAGTCATCATGATTTTTCTTCAGAGCTGGTGTGACAGTGTAGCTGGAGCTGAGGACAACTTACCAGTGTTTAATTCCTGTGCCCAGTTGACAAGTGGCTACCAATCTGGTAGCATTCCGAAATGAGCTTTCCTAGAAGGCTAATTTTCTTTTTTCCCCAGACAGCTGGAGTGAACTGTTCTTCCTAGGTAGCTGGGTCTCAGTGCACAAGTGCACATGTTCCTTCATGAAAATAAGATTATTTTTTTTTTTTAAGTGACAGAAGCAGAATTAGGATCTTATTACACAACTTGATGCATACCAAAGACTGAATTAATTTTGTCTAGATGGGGATTTATCTTTTGTTGTCCTCTTCTGCTATGTGAAAACATGGTGCTTCCAGAAGATAAATTCCAAGGTGAAGGCCAAGGTGTTTATTTTAGAAGTAACTTGCATTAAAGATTATACTGGTATGCGGCAGTGAGCTTGCTTTGAAGGATGTGTCTGGTGGATGTGCCTCAGATCTTGGAATAACCCAATAAGTTAATGTAACTGAAAGTTTTGGCCTGTTCGGACACTGGGCTTTCCATCCTGTACTTATGGGAATCATAAGGTTTGTGACCTATGTGAGTATTTCCCTACTCACCCAAGGTGTTGCCCAAGAAAAATGGTGACATCCATCAATCTGAATGAGGTCTAATAAATGAAGGGCTGAAATTTTTTTGCATTCTCATTTGGTTGGGTTCTTTTTTTCTCTACTAGTCACAATGGAAAATGCAAGAAATTCCCTGCTAGGTGAATATAAACATAGTAGCTGCTGGGTAGCTCATTTTGCTACCAAGCAGGGCTGTAATTCCATTTGAGAATAGGCTGTGTTGTTTTCTGAGCTTTTTTTCAGCCATCGAGTTAACAAAAGTTAACATGCAAAACTTAAAATGTTTTGAGCATGTGGACATATTCCTTTAAATGCCTGAGGGGTTTGCAGCACTCTCCAGCACCTGTACGAATTCCACTTTCATCAAAGTAGTAGATACGAGTGTATCACAAATAGCAAGTTACCTGCAAAAGAACATTTGACTGTGAAATGGAAATATTTGGGTGTGCTACAACTAGAGTTGCTTTCCAGGGTTGCGTTATCACTAGTAAGCTGCGAGAGTTGCACGCTTGCTGTTTGACATCAGTAGACCCGCTCAGCTGCTTCACAGTTGCTGCCAGGTTGCACAACACCACGTGTGTTTTGGAAGCTTCCCTTCCTGCCAGAGGAGCCTGTGGGCTGTATAGCGTCTGCTTGTCATTCCTGGCTGGAAATGGCCGTAGGGCTGAAATGTGATCAGGTCACCGAAGTGTGCTTCCAAACAAAGCAAAATCAATTTGCTAATCTTCTTGACTCGAGTCTGTAAATACAGAAGATTGATCAGGATGATGATGGACTTGCAGTCTAGTCTGGGGACTTGCAGTCTAGTCTGGGAGACTGAGTGAGAAAAAAGTCTGCTGGCTTTGCCCAGTGTCGTATGCACGTGTTAATGCACGCAGTGCTGGGCGCACCAAAGATGGGCTGCTCTAGTAAGACATATGGATGACAAATAATGATTTTAGTTCAATCAGTTTTGTGGTTGACCATCATTATAGATGATGATTATTTTTCCTCACAAGTTCATGGCGAAAAATAATCTTTATTTTAAGAAGAATGTGTGCATGCGTGATAGATAGTAGTATATATCAGTAAAAAGTGCAAGTTCTGTGTGGTCTCTGCATTCACTGAGGGATGAAACCAGTTGAATTATATGTATACACCAGTTAAATCATATGTATACATTTTGTAGTATGGTACTATAAATGGAGGAGGTGAAGGATGTGTTGCTATTAGCACTAAGCCAGATGAATAATTCTTTTGAAGGTCTAGAATATCAGTGATCCAATTGAAGATGTGTCAGCTGAGATGAGTCATGTGCTAGCCTCATTCAGTGACTAAGAAATGGAACAGCCATCGATGTCCAGGCTGAGTCACAGCTTCTGCATATTTCCTGAAATAATTTTTGATTGATAATGACAGAGCAGTCAAAATTGCTGTATTTGTTTGTATTGTAATTTGCAGTCTGCAGAACGCTAGTGTATATATCGTTTAAAAGATTAGACAAGTAGCTAGAACAAACCGAAGCAGTATTTCTGATAGAGTGTGTGAATCAGGAATGGTGTCCTGTAATTGCCTCCCTTTCTTCTCTTTTCTCTGTTATAATTATTTCTTCCTTGTGCTGCTATATATGTGTGTCATAAGGAATGAGGCAGAAGTGACCCTTCTGACACTGTGACTGTGAGATAACAGCACTTTAAAAAACTGATAGCAAATAAAAGAAATCCTAAGTATAGCAGAGTAGCGGACAGTGTATCAATTTTGTCCTTAAAGGTACTCTTGTTCATATACTGAGCGTGTTTCTGGATAAAAAACATGAGATCTGATAATTTTAAACCTTCTTTTTTTTTTTTTTTAAAGATTGTTGGGCAGTTTGCTGGCCGAGTAAGAGGAAGGATTTTAAGAATGTAAAACTCAGTGGTCCTCTTATTTGCTCTGTTGTATTTCATTAACTTCAGTAATTAATTTCACTGGAGTCTTACAGTGAAATAAGAAACACAGATCAAAAGCACCACCTCTCCAAACCAAAGTGTGAAGAGTGGTCTGCATGATTTAGTATTTTGCAGTGGAAGGTATTGGGCATTCTCAAGTGCATGAGACAGAGCAAGAGGAACCAAGTTGATTATTGCTGGTCTGGTGGTGAATCTAGAATACAACTTTCTATCTGCAGGACTTTCCACACTTAAAAAAAAGAAAATAAAAATGCAGCAAAGCTAAACCACAAGCAGAGAAAAAAAAATTCAACATCCTCAAAACTGATGTTAAGGTAGAGCATTGCAGACTTGGAAAGCCAGATTCAAAGATACTTTCATGTTTGATGAACTCTGCCTCCAGAGATGCACGGGTAATTCAGTCTATGCAGTTCACACCAATATCCCTGCTCTTTTACAGAAAGGTTCTTACAGAACCCCTATATCAATGTATTGATCTTGGTAATTCAGAGTCTTCCCTATCTTCATTTGCATCTGGTTCTTGATTTAGGATTAAAAACACATGACTGCAAGAAACGGTTTACTTTTTGTCACTGGATCACTTTGCGTTTACACTTTGCCCTCTACATATGCCCTTACTTAAAGTTTGGGAGTGACTTTCTCTGGCTACACACTGGGACAGGTTATGCTGGTTTGTGCTGACACAAGAAATAAATTGGCTTATTCTCTAAAACCATCACTCTTCATGAAACATATTTTCTTGTGATGTTCTGTGCAGCCAAACTTCCCTTTTCCTGTGTCTACTGTAGGTTGAATCTCAGTGAAGGACTTGATAAAGTCGGGTTTCTTGGAGGTAGTTACTAAACTAGCCATTCATCTTTGGGCCCTCCAGGTTATTCAAAGGAAAAAAAAAAAAATTGCTGGTTTTACCATACAACATAATTGTGCTTTCAGGTCTATTGGTGTTGAAAAGACTTGGTCAAATTTGGCAGGTAAAATAAAACAACTTATTTCTGTCCTTATTTGAAAGTGGAGAAGGATGGAAACAAATACATATATGAGAGTAACAGGGCCATGACAACACGTAGACATATAGGAGGTTAAAGATTAAATGAATGAAGAAGAAACTCTCTGGAAAGTGCCTGGAAGTGATCAGAAATGCTGATAAACACTCTTATGTTCCAGCTAGTAATTAAAATGATAAAAACATTTGACTTAGCTATTACGTACCTTGTGTAGTGTTTTTTCTCTCCTTATCACACCTGTTCTAGTATCAAGTCTTGTAAGTTCATTGTAATAGAGATGAACTCTCTATTTTCTTTAATATTGCTCCTTTTATTGAGGATAAAGACAGACAAAAGAGAAATGGAACTAGAATAGAACTGAACTGCTAGTATTATGTCGTTAGATGCAAAACTGAATATGCCCTTTCAAAAATTGTCTGACAAGTTATTTTGTAAGAATGAACATTTCTAGGAAGAGCTGCAATAATGTATTTGTAATGATATGTCATTATCAGATAGCTATGGTCATTGCCATATCCATCTGTCTGCTTGTTGTCTCCTTGTTATGACGTCATGGTGTGTGTTTCTGCACAGGTTTCTGCATCGCAGTTCTGCCTCCAGCTGCCCTTTCTTGCAGGAATGTAGGAAAAGTTAACTTTTTGTAAAATGCTCGCAGTGTCGAAAGATGCATTCAGAAGGTCATCACTGAAGTTAATGTATGCAGACAATGGTTGCCACCACGTATGTTGTGGGGGTTTTCGTTTCATGCTGTTCCCTCCGGCCCCTGCCAATGGTGACTGCCTTGCAGGCATTTTGTAATTTGGAATTTCTCTTTCATTATCAACATTACAGTGGTGATGTAGGAGGTGGTCTTAGCCACTGGATAAGAAGCGGTCTTTCCAAAATCATTCCAAAGCTCCCAACTTAATTGTGCCAAACCCCTCCTAACCTTCCATATGGTTAATGTTATGAGCTGTGTGTATAAGCATGTTGAGGTTTTTGTTGTTGGTCAGTGTTTTTAATTTTTCTCCTGAGTTTGTGAAGCTAGATAGTCAAAGTCATGTTTTTCAAAATAATCTATAATCTTGCTTTTACAGAGCTAAAAGTTGTGGATTCAGGTTGCTCTTAAACCCTCCACCACAATTACAAATACTTACATTTGGTGGAATTTGGTGGAATTTCCCCCCCCCCCCTCCTCCCAGTGACCCACATCTCATGAATGCTGTCTTGTCTTCGTGTTTATGCTGTGTGTCTACCCTATCTTTTTGTTTGTTGGGTCTGTTCAATCTGTTCATGTCTTGATTAGTATCTGACTAAAGCTCTATCTTATAAAGACTTGTGCACATCAGTAATTTTGTGTATCCAAGCAGTTGCTGGTATCGTATGCGTGAGTAGGACTGGCTGCGTGCATAGCTTCATAGAGAGGGGGAGTTACTATGCAGCAGTTTTGGCTAACAATAAATACAGGGCTGTGTTTTGGAACAATGGATTAATGCTGAAGCATATTTTAGCTAGTTAGGAGCTTTAGAAGTTTTAACTATGTATGGCATTTGTGCCAATAATCAGTATATGCACATAGTAGATAAGCGGTACATTTTTCGGTTGGATTTTTTTTGTGACTGCCTAGAAAACCACAGAATTTTACTTAATAAAATTGGATAGGATATAAAAGACAAAGATGTTTCAAGATATTTTGCAAAACTGAGACTGCAAGGGAAGACCTGTATTTTTTTTTTTTCCTGAGCAGCAACACCGAGGGCTTCAAAGACCTAAATAAGCTTTGCAAAACTGGACAGAAGTGATCCAGGAAGAACAGTTTTAATACAAGAGCCTATCTGATACTTACTAAATTCAAGTCAAAGTTTGGACTCCTGCCTGGGACAAATACAAAATTCGTTCCTGGAGTCACATCAGAGATTAGGACAGTTAATATCAAGTTGCTCCTGGCACAAAACATCTACAATGTGAGATGTGGGGTTTTCTTCTTAAACTGAACTGTATTTACTTGCCAGCTAGTAATCCATTCGTAGAAATCCTAATGTTTCACTCTACTGAATTTTTGAATGCCCTTTGTGAATTTCTACATGTGGCTCCTAAACAGCCTTGTAAGCTTTGGGGCTAACGACAGATGCGGTTGCCTTGCATGTGTATTTTTCTGCCCGAGGCCTGGACAGCACAGTGTGAAGTCAGTCTGTTCCATGCATGAAGAATGTAAATGTCTGCTGTGTCCCTTTTATGCTCTGGAGCCCAGCTTTTTAATGCTGCCCGAAAGTTTTCGGGCTTTCCCATCACTCAGGTCAAGTTTTCCTCCTCTGCTTTGATCTATGGTAATAGTCTTGATTTTGTTGTTTTCCTGTGTTTTACAGTGGTTTGAACTTTATTGATCTGATGGTGCGACAGGGGAATATCGACAACCCTCCTAAGACGCCACTTGTTCCTGGGTTTGAATGCTCTGGAATTGTTGAAACTCTTGGAGACAGCGTGAAAGGATTTGAGGTAATATTTTCTTTATTTTCAAAGCAAGACTAAATAATCGCCAGTTCACTGAGTATGTTGTCCCTAATCCCTTCTGGTCTGCCAGTGATAGCAGCCTTCACCACCCTGTTGAGATTTGAAAGGGCAATTTTTCCTTGCTGCTTCCCAAGCATGAGAATGACCTCTTGAATTGGTTTCTAAAGCCACGACTATCATCTCCTTCAAATCCTTCCTGAAAAGTCACTTGTGTCATGTGCGTATCCTGATGGCTAAGTAGGAACTGGAAAGCATGACTGATGTGCTTCAAGAAAGTAAAAGAAATTGAGTTAACTTGTGAAGTTTCTTTTCTTGGTTGTGTTTGCTGTCATCGTTGCTCTGTTCCTCGAACCCCATGCGCTGCTAATTCTAGTTCCAACTTTTGATCTTGAGTTAACAAGACCCCCGTCTACAATAAACATTTGCTTCTTACAACCATGTGCATTCATGAGACAGATAAAATTGGGACCATGATTCTGGGTATATGAGTTATTCTGATCACTCAGGAAAATGATCTATTTCGCCTAACAGAATAGTGATAAATAACAAATAGTTAATGTATATAATAAAGATTTCATAACTGGTTGGCATTATGTACTCTTTGGTATCTCTTATTACCTATAAACAGCATTTTGTCCTACCTCCTATTCCATTATTGATGTTAAACATCTATATTCCCTCCAGTCTTGCAGTTTATTTCCTAAGTAGATAGAAAAATTTTGAAATAAAAACTGAGTTAATGCACATCAGTCCTATCTTAGTTATTTGCTGAGTCAGTCATGTCATCAAGTAATTGCATTTTCTGATTTCTTATTGTATCTTGATCTTAAGAAGGCAATTACCTAAAATATTTTTATTTAAAGGTAACATTTTTGCTCTTCTAGAAGAGCTGTAAAATTTCTCAGTTGAGTGAAGATAATGGCCAATTTAGTTTCTAGTAAGATCTCAGTGATGAGCTGCTCTTAGGACTTTTCTCTACCTTCCCCCTCCTGTCCCATCTCTGCCTTGCAACAAGTCATAATCTTCCAATGTTTTTTGTGACAAACAGAAATTGAACAATAATTTTGCTGTTCAAAAAACTCTGCTGCTTCAGTTGTTCCACTCTAGTATTTGTGTTTTATAGTTACACTCCATATTGAAGAATATTCTGTGAAAGGAGTATAGAAAGTCCCTGCTGTAGGTCAGCATTCTCAGTTTAAAGGTTCTTGCTATTTTTAAAGGGCATCATGAGGCTGCAGCATATGGTGCTTGTTTGAATAACATTGCACCCGACTGAATATACTGGGTCTCTTTTGAAGTTACATCTTTGTTCAGACTATAGAACATGTTTGTGCTCTAGTGTACTCCCTGAAAGTGAAACAAACCATGGTATTTTATTTTTTGCATATAATCTGCATAGCCATGGTAGCATTTGAGTGATCTAGAAGGGTCAACACTCAGAATAACTGCTGTGCGCAGGTATGAACCCATCAACAGGCGAATGCACCATGAGGAAGATGCAAGAACGTTCTGTCATTTTCTCTACAGATTTCTTGCACAGAATAGGAGCATGCCAGATGCTTGTTGTCTCCTTGACGTATGCTGTTATTGCTGTCCATAGCAATGGCACGAATGGCAAAGATTGCACCCTGCGTCTTCTGACCTTCTTTCCCTTTGTAGATCTCTTCCAGTTTCAGTTATGTTAGTCGTGCACATTTCGTGCTCTGGAAAAATGTGTCTTGCTAGCCCTTGGTCTGTACTACCTGAGGTACTACGCCTGAGATGCTGCCAGCCATTTATTGTCTTCATTTGCTATGATTGCATTATTATGTGACAAATCACAGCACGGAATGGCAGTCCATTTTGACAGCAACGCGCAAGAATGTATTTTACATTGAAAAAAAACCTTTTTGATGGAATAAGGTGTAATGCGTATTCTTTCTCCCATTAAAAGAAAAAGCTGATTTCTACTGAGCTCAAATGTGTCAGGCCTGATCCCTCTCTAGTTGTGGGGATGATTCTCATGAGCTAAGGCCTAATCTGACATGATGACTAGGCTCTGTGTAGTGTTTGTGGTAAAATATGATATTTATTATTACTAAGAAAGCCCATAGGAATCGCCAAGAAGGACTTTTCTGCGTTCTTTTTGGTAATCATTTATGTTTGTTTGCAAGCATATAGCACATAGTAACATCTTCACTAATTAATCCTAGCAAACTTTAGGTTTTAGATGCTTCCTTAACAGCAAAAGGGAACCACAAAGTGGTTACCAATGAGGCGTTGTTAATTTGGATGTGTTTTTCAAAAGGAGGAGGCATTTTGGTGAAATTGGAATGACAGTTCTGTTTCAGCATCCTCGTTCTAAAAGAGACAAACCCTTCAGAACTGTCAGCAGCACCTTAGCTTTTAGCAAACCTGCAATATCCCAAAGCCAAAGTGATGACAAGTACTTGGGAGACCAAAACATGCTTGTGCTATAAATGTTTGCCTGAAGGTAAAAGTGTTGTGCGTTACTCCATTGCCGTGGAATACAGTTGAAGTAGTCCAAGAACAACCTGTAGTATATCTAAAGCATTAGTGGGTATTAGTAGAAAGTAAGATATAGAATATCAGGCAGATAAGCTTAAAACATGAAGTCCTGAAGTCTGATGGTATTCCTGTCTTATTACTTCCAATGTGGCTCCATAGAACAGCTCCTTTCATAGTTAAGGATGCTATTTTTGTTGGTGTATTTTATGAGGTCAAAGAGGAGGTAAAAGATGCGTAGGGACTGCTGGTGACAAGCCACTACTGCGAGTTTGTAAGGGTCATGCCTATGAAGGTTTTAATACATGCTGGCCAAACGTTGCTCACTGTGTCTCTCCCTAGTAGCCCCAGCAGACCAATTTCTACTTCTACGCAAGCCTTGCTTTCCAAGTCTGGTTGTACCCTGTAGGAGCCTCAGAGCTCCAGTTGCCTTGTTATGATTCCTGGCCATCTGTGGGGAGTCACTATCTCCATTTTAAACACCTGAAGCTGCAATGAAGGCCGTTATACGAACATATGAATTTGATGTGCCTGGATCTCTGACAGGTTCCTAGAACGGCTGACTATATCTAATATTAACATAAAATCTTTATTTTTCCAACATGAAATACCCTTTCACTGCTATAAATTTTCCAAAGAAATCGAGTAGAGAAATGTTACATTCAAAGAGAATATTTCATTGCTCCTTTAAATCCTGTCAAATTCACTTTATAGGTTTAGTAGTGCCTCAGAATCCAGAGGTATATTTTTGATGGTTACGGTGGCTTATTTGAAGTTGCAGGATCAAATTCTGCTCTGACATGTGGCTGTAGAAGTGACAATCATGGAAATGTATTGGTAGAATTGGTTGTTAAGATAATAAAAATAGAGAGTGGATACAGGTGGTGGTGTCTTCTAGATAAGTGGTTTCCAAACCCTTTCATGTGCTCTGTCTACTAGACTACAAGGCCTCCCCTTCTCAATCTATAGCCTAAATTAGTGTGAAGACTGAGAAGATAAAGTGAAAATTATCTGAGGTGTAATTTTGCTTATTCCATGCATCTTATTAATAACATTAAGAACTCTTTTTTTTTTTTTCCTCCTTTTTTGTGTAAGCAAGTTTCCTGATTATTAGTAAGAATGCTGTCTTCATTGTTTACAACCCCACTTGTTATTTAGGAGCTCTGCTAGGAAAAGATGATCTGTATTACTGATGATGGAAAACTGGTCCATCAGAGAAGCAGTGTAGCAAAAAGAAGAGATGGCTTTAATTTTGGATATTTTTGTTAAATTCAACTTTTAAAATAAATAGTTAAAAATGGTAAAAGCCTAAAGCTGAGCAGCTTAACTGCGATTTCGCCAAAGGCATGGAGCACCATTATCTTCACAGTCAGTCAGTGACCCACAGTTTGAACAGAAGCGTTGCAGGTCTAACAAGTTGCTCTCTACAGTCTCAATTGCAGCCATATCCTCAATGTTGTTTTCTTCCTTGTTTGTAGATTGGAGACAGAGTCATGGCTTTTGTAAACTACAACGCATGGGCTGAAGTAGTATGCACCCCAGTAGAATTTGTCTACAAGATCCCAGATGACATGAGTTTTTCTGAAGCTGCTGCGTTTCCCATGAACTTTGTAACTGCCTACATGATGCTCTTTGAAGTTGCTAACCTAAGAGAAGGCATGTCTGTGCTGGTTCACTCGGCAGGAGGTGGGGTGGTAAGTTGGAACTTTCCTTACTTTCCTGTCACCAAGTAACTGAAGCAATCTGATGCATCTCGATTTCTGAAATGAGCCAGACCCTCCGGTTTAATTTGGTATCAGGCTTGCCTATGTGAGGGATTGTGGTAGGAGAACTGCATCTCTTTTCCCATCAAAACACTGACGTGAATGGTTGGCAGGAGCTTTTGGTGAAATAAAAATATTCTGACAATAAACGCTACCCAAAAACCCCTGACTGGTTGTCAGAGATCAAGGAGCAAGTGTTGTTCCAAACATTGCATTCCTGAACTTATGCACCATGTACTACTTCTATGTAAAAGAAGGCTGCAATGAAAGGAATAAATAAATTGACTTTCTGCACAAGCTATTTGTAGGTAACCATAATCTTCCTTGCAGTAAATGGCCCTCTTGCAATACTCCAGCAAATGCCACATGTGAGTGTGTGTCATGCTTTCTCTGTGAAATACTTTTTTCTTTTTTTTTTTTTTCCCTCCACGCTTTGTTGTAGAGGGATTGAAAGAAATAAAGAGCATTATAATGCCAGCCCTGAGGAAAATATACAAATGCTGAATTTGAGTCAGTGGTGCCTGCTGCCTATCATAGTGTGGATCATTAGTAAGGAGTATTATGTTGCATGGGCAAAGCAACAGTAGGATGAATTCAGTGGAATACCGGGCCACACAATGAAATAAAAAGTTGGCATTTTATGTTACCAGTTCCTAGAACCATCTTTTAGAAAAAATCTCTGTTCTTTGGAAAGTATTTCAGCTTGTGCAAAATATTAAGCTACCAACAGGGGAGTTTGTTTACATTTGAAATTATACAGTTCTTTTCCATAAGACAGATTTTACAACCTGGGAGCATTAGCAGATCTCAGCCTTCCAAATTGGAGTACCTCTTCTGTTTTCCTGTTATGCTTTGTTGATGCTAAATTAGTATTCTGTTGTCTACTGAAGTCCGGTGGGCAGCCCCAAACACCTTATCCCTAATTCTATGCCCTTAGATCTTCTTTGAGGTTCTCATATAAACAAAGTCTGTAATCAAGGGGATAAATTCATGAGTTGCCTGTACAAAGTATTTTTAGCCAACAATAATCCTACTTGCAGTAAATGCTCCTCTTGGAATACTTCTGTAAATGAATGGAATTTATAATCGTATTATGTTTTGGCACAGTACAACCTAAAGCGTTATGGCTGACTTTATTGTTCTTAATATTAAATCTTCTCATGTGGAATTCAGGACTGTTAAAGCAACATGAGGCCACACATTCAGAGGGACTGTATATTCCTCAGGAATCAAAGGCTCAGCTTTAGCTGTAAGGCCATTTGCCCAGCTGACACTATACAGACCGTACAGAATTAGCAAAACACCCAAAAGCAATCCCTGCATATACGCATGTATCTAGAGAAAATGAACTCCTCCTCCTTCTTAAGATAAAGCATCCTTGCCAAATGTCTTTTTAGTTCTCTCTTCCTTCTTCTAACCTCACTTGCCTCTGTTATTTCTCCCCTCTCTTCCTGAAGCATTGTTAATGCTCTACCAGCTCTCACGTAGTCTTCTTCACTAGTGCCCAACCTCTGTGCTGGGCTGTTCTGTGAGGAGCTGATGGCTTCCTCTATTTTATCACAGATGCTCAATGTATGGGACTGTACGTAAGAGGAAGACAGGGCTGGCTGGCCTGCAAGACAGGATGCTGATTGCTGTATCGCAGGGGAGAGTGCCCCATGCAGCCTGTTGTTCCTTGTAAGGGAAGAGCATGTATAAGTAGAATTGGAAAGGAAAGACTTTTCCCATTGCTTGATAGGTCTTACAGGTAAAATATCATTCTGGATATGCATGGAATTTTTTCCTCTCTGCTAACCAGACATAAAGGTTTCAGCAGGGTCTGTGTTACTCTTTAAACCACTCTAATAATCTGTCTGTTAATCCTTTGAAAAATTTAACAGCCTCAATTGAACAAATCATTCTCGCAAAGTTCTTAGTGCTAGTTTTCTGTTTTATTAACTGAAAGTGCTATGGGAAGAGGTATTTTTTTTTGTGCTGTTGCTTTAATAGATAGAAGGCCCATTCCCACTTTCAGCAAGTGGGAAACCTGTCCAGTGTGTTTTTAAATGTCATGGAAATTCCAGAACACTTTAATAAGACAATAGGCTCCCTGTGGGACTAGAAGTTTGTAATTGTTCCTTTCTCATTATGCAAGATCATTATTTTAGCTGCTTCAGGCAGTTTATGAAAAAGAACTTGTTGCTTCAAAAATGTTTGTGACATTCTTTGTTCTGGCTCCCCAGGCCCCTTTAGGAGGATCCCGCAGCTTTTTCAATAGATTATCAGGGAAGAGTCTCTGGGACTCTTACTTATGTATTGCCTCAGTTTGTTTATGTGGCCTTATTTTTGTTTATAGATATTTTTGGTAGCGAGGTAACTATAGCAATTGTCTTCTCATCTGTGCCTCAGCTGCGATTAGTATGTGACGGTATCCTTCAATGCCTGACAGGATGCTTTAGATAAGTCAGTTTACTTATTTCCAGAAGTTCCAGGGGACATCAGAAGATGATGTAGAGAAAAAGGAAATGTACCAAGATAACTTGGTAATTTTTAATACATTACTTGAAAAAAGTCTCACGTACCTGTCTCTCTGTTGCAGAGACTTGAATCCTGTTCCATATACCAAATGAAGTACCCTGTCTGCTGCCCACTCAGCTGAAAGGTCAGGGCATCCTGCAGCCTTTCCTGTTCATGGTAGGAAATGTGGCTGGTTGTAGGGAAGCACCTTGTCTCTCTGAACCAGGAGGAAAGAGGCGGACACTCAGAAACGCTGCTTCTGACACTGTTGGTATATGGTAGCCTTCCATCTGAAGAGGAGACCTGCTGCAGTGCTTAGAAAGGGGGTTTGAAAGGAGAGACTGTATTTGCTTTTGTTTCCTAGGGCCAGCTTGTTGATTTTGATTGTTTGGAAAGGGGGCTGCTTTGGGGGTTGGTTTGGTTTTCCTGTCTCTTCTTCCCTCTCGAGATAGGGGCAGTTAAGAGAGACTGACTCTCGGCTCTCAACCTGGGCAGTGAAGTAGGCTGGAGAAATTTTAGGAGCCTTCTAGGAAGCATGGTGCAAGCTTACAGTTGCGTTGCATGATTCAATTGGACTTCGAGGAGAGATTAATATCTTGCAAAGCGTTCTGTTATCATTGCTTGACCTGCTACTGACCAAGATCTAACAAGGACAACGGCTGTCATATGCTTCCTTTCAGGCCTCTGCTTAGCAGGACACTTAACGCTTCTGATTAAACCTTTATATTGAGTAGCAGGGCAGTTTGATAATTACCAAAAGATATAATTGTGTAATACAAATGGAGTTTAAATGCTTAAAACTATGGAAATGTTTAAGTGTCCTTCTGAACTGATGGCTAAAATAAGGAGAAAGTTGGCTAACACTGAACTTCAAAAACTTCCTATTATCCGTATATAAAAATTAATGCTCAGAAATATGAGTTTGCAAGAACATATGACTTACTGTAAGACATATATTGGCCTATCTTAACTGTAAAATGCTGTAATTAATGTTTCAAATGACTATAAGACAATGGTAGAGTAGCTCCCTTCACAAATGTACTCCCACGTCTTTTTTTTTTTCCAAGTGAAGCAAAGAGGCAACTGAAGAAAATACACTGAGAAAACTGAGCAGTAGCATGCACCCCACTGGGACTGATCTGCTGTATGAAGCAATTAGTTCTTTAAAATTAAGACTGTTTAAGTCGGTGCATTCAGTGCAAGTCACAGCACAGGCTTGTATCAGATTATAAAGTTGCCCTTAAAATTATTAATGTAAACTTGTAAACTGTATCCTGGATTAGCTGAATTAGTATAAATACAGAACTGTTGTGTTTAAAAAAAAAAACGAACCAAAACAAAAAACACCCAAAAAACTTCAGGCTCTTCTCTTCTAGCTTTAATAAATCAATCTCTTTCTCTGATATCTACTTGGAAAATGAATTCTTTCAGGGATTTAGATTTGTAAGAGACAGCCATTATGCCCATTTGCTTATTTGTTTGCTCTTTATATACTTCCTATTCTGAATATTTAGAGCACAAAACTTTGGTCATCTACCAAGATTGTGTAAACACTTCAGTTTCATCACTTAACACTTCGGATGCAAGGCAGTCAATTATTAGCCAATTCTTTAGCATTTTGATCTTACAGATGCTAAAATTAAGCTGCCTTTCATGCAGGAGCATCGATTGCAATCCTGAAGCTGTGATCTGACCTTCCCTTTCAGGCTCAGCAGCAGAGGAAGTGCAAGCAGAGTGAGTTACAGATGCAGCTCTCATGTTTGAATTTGAAGGGTAAATCTGACTTGGCAGCAGATTTAGGTCATCCTGGCAGGATTGGTTCCTGCTTGGCAGGAATCCTCTTTTTTATTGTGTCTCCCCTGCATAAATCGCAAATATTTGAGGATGTGTTCCAAACTGAATCACTGAAGTGGTGATATTTTATCTGAAAAAGAACTGGCACTCCTTAGTAAATCTAGTCACCTGCTATCACAGGCAGCATATAGGAACCCTTTCAAGAGAATTATCAAATTTCTTCTTAAAAAAAAAAAAAACCTGTGTGTTTATCCATTTAGTCTCTCTCTGCTCTGTCTTGCTCAGTGAGAAATCTTTCTCAATTTCCAGACTTTATTTGTGGCCAGTTAATGTATCTTTGTTCTTCTGCTGGTGTTGTCATTAATTAAAATCAGCTATTCTTTCCTCTTGGGACACTTCTTTCAGATCTTTTTGGTAGGATGCAGATGTGTTTATTGCTAGAACAAGCTCAGAATCAAATTTCTCCTTGACCTGTATTTTTCAGGCTGAAAGCAGGTTGGTTTGTTCATACTCTTTTTCTGTAAGGTCAGATGTCTGTTTCCTTGGTCATCCCACAGACACTGGTCCAGGCAGACACATACACATTTCCTGGGCTCTGAACTAGTTGGCAGCAAAGCGGCAGTAAGATGCTATGAAAGCCA